CAGGGCGGAGCTGGCGGGCTGCATTCACGTGTGTGAAACAGGCAGACGTGGATACCTGCTAATTAGTGCTGAGTAGCACACTGATAAAACTCTAGATATCAGTCAGCAAACATGTGATTTGTTAGATAATCCTATTAAAAATGCTCCAAAAGACGCAAACGAGTCCGAGAAGTTCAGTTCGGTGACCCCAGCTGGCGAGGGTGAGGGAACCTATCTGTAAAGACCGAAGCCTTTTTTATTGCAGGTTGCAAACGTGATTATTCCTGATGTAACGTTGGCTATTGTGAGCGTTTTGTGACCTCGACACGTAAGTTTTCAGCCCAGAGGTCGAAGCTTGTGTTTGTGCAGTCTCAGCAAATTCTGCAGAGCTCCACAGTTTCCCGTAATGATTGAACTCATGTGACCCGCGAGGACCCTCGTGTCCTGAACTGTGACACGGCTGTGGTGGTTCAGATTACAGATTCAGATTTTTCTAAGGTCACGTAAACAATCCAGGAGCCCAGATGTCCAGCCGGATAAATCAATAGGGAAAGAAGGAGCTTAGAAGGATAGAAAAAGGTAACGTAACAACTTATTGCCGCTTAATGAAACTAATGATTCGCTGAGTCTTTATTAAAGAATGAAAGGAGGTTTAAGACGGGCCACAAAAATCTGTTTACAGTAGCTGTAAATCTCTGCAGTAGACGTGTGGTGAAGTGCCCTGTAGATTGGAAGTGCATCAGGCCAGCTGTGTTTTGTCTCTCTAAGGCAGAGTTCGTCTTTCTAAGAGCGTTGAGGCTAAAGCGATGTCTCCTGATGTGTCTGCAGGTTCTCGGGGACCTCCGAGCTGACAACCAGAGGCTCAAGGATGAGAACGCCGCTCTGATTCGAGTCATTAGCAAACTCTCGAGATGAACCTGTGACAGAAAATATTCACCTCCATGGACGTAACAAGTATTACAGGATGTATGTTTTTGTCCAGCACGGACGACACAAACGAGGAAGAGACACACACTGCACAACTTTCAACAGTAACTGGAGTAACGTCATTTTCAGGGTTATTGTCTGTGTTTGGGCCTTTTATGTTTTGGCAGATCTACTGTAAACCAAGCTGAACTTCACCTCCTGTGGACGGACAGGATGTCCCTGCTTCCCACTCCCACATTTTTTTTTTTAAATAAGTTTTTATTGTTGTATTTTTAAAAAAAAAAAGAAATTAAATATTTTAATGTGCTTCGCTCTGGTGAAACTTTGTATTAAGAGACTTAAAGCCATGCACAGTGAGAGCTCAGTGTGTTTTTAGACGGGGTGAAAGATTTGCATAAGAGCCAGTCAGGTGTGCGGGGTGGTCACAAATAACGTCAACGTGCCAAAAACCAGCCCCGGTTGTTTTTTAATGTCCTTTTGGGGGGAAAACCTCAAGCGGTCAGTGTTGTTTCTCAGGACGAGTCTTGGGCCGATGCTTTCTGTTTTTAGCTGGCTGCTGTAGAAGATGGACCAAATTCGCACATCTCCCGGCTCCTCTGGATGTATGTGAAACATTTATGTTCAGGGGCCGGCCGTCCTGAGGACACGATGTAAAGGTGTAGTCGCAGCTTCAGGAGAGTTTTGGGTGCTAATCATGGACGTCAGGCACCGCTCGTGTTCAGAGGGACGTTTACAGAAAATATGTCACACAGGTATTTCAGGAGGCGGAGGACGCATGCTCCAACTTAACTGTTCTTTACTCGTAGTTCTATTTTGCCATTTTTGACTGGATGCTTGTGAAAGCCCCACCCCCAGCTAAGTATTCACCATGTGACAGACGGCCGTTGTCCAACAGGAAGGCCGGATGGGTCAGTTTTTGAATGTTTACTTCAATTTTAAAGATAAAACCAACCACAACAAATGCATGTTATATTGTATTTTGATGCCGTGCCTTTCGATATGCATTTGTAAGTAATATTTCTATTTTGCTTTGGCAGTGTACACTGTTGAGTATAAAATACAGTATGGGCATAAATGTTGAAGTATCTGTTGTTTGTTTGTGTTGAGCAATCCCACATTACATGTGAATAAAACATCGAGGCCCACATTTTATTTAAGTTTTCACTCTCAACTTCTTAATATTTCAAAACTCTTAAACGGCTCTCGGGTCCAGTGGATCTGATTTTGCCCATAAATCATTAGAATTCTGCTAAAGCATCCTGATTCCTCAGTTAAGGATTTACAGGAGACACCCCCTCCATGGCGCCTGTTTTCAAACGATAATTAGACCTTGTGAGTGTAATTATACCACAACAGAAGTTCAGGAGGCAGCTCACTTCATGCCTGAACTTAAAAGATGCAGTGAAATTCCTGAGACTCTCGGGAACGTGTTTTTCTACACGTTAACCTACAAAGTTAAAAATGGGACCGTTTTCCTTTCGATCTGTAAGTGCTTGAAGATGCTTCATCACTCATCTGAAAGGCTTCTTCAGTGTTTAAATGCTGATGAGGGGTCCCGGGTGGGGGCTCTACCTTGGAGGTGGGTTCAACATGGCAGAGCAGAGGTGGAGGCCTACACCATCAACTGTCAGTGGCCTATAAAAGCAGAGAGATACATTCCTAAGTGTTTTAACCACCACCTGCCTGCGTGACCAGAACTCACCTGATTGTAGGGCAGGGCAGAGACTCATGAACATGTCCTGACGTGTTCAGGCGTGTCAGCATCAGCTCAAAGGTTACAACCTCACTAGAGGTTAAATGGATGGGACACTCCATCAGATGAGAGGTGAAATGTCTTCAAGAACCTAAAAGAAGTCCAGTTGCCTTTTATTTGAGCACTTTAGACTAAAATTGGATGGAACAAATAATAATAAAAAATAAAATATCGACATTTTTGTTCCACAGCTGCAGAGTCCCCTTTTAATCTCGACAAGAAGTCCAGAGAATACGTTATTTGATATGGAAAGGTCCTTACACTGTTTGTCCACCAGAGGGCGATAGAGAGCCCGTTGGTTGCAGTTCATCTAGTGTCCAGCAGAGGGTGCTCAGGATGAGCAGGAGTAAATGAAACCGAACACCTGAACCTGCAGGAATTTCTTGCAGACATAAAGACCCGGATGACCTCAAATTTTCTGCTTCTAAAATCAGATAAAACTGAGGCTATTGTCCTCGGCCCTAGAAATAACCAGATTCTTACTCTGATGGCATTACCTTGGCCTGCAGTATCACTTTGAGGGACCTTGGAGGCTTTTTTTTGACCAGGATATGTTCTTCAGTGCACATATTTAAAAAATATGTAAGACTGCTTTGTTCCATTTGTGCAAATAGAAATCAGATTGTATAGATTAATCTGAGATGATTACATAATTTAGCAGTGCTCACTTGTAGACATGGTCAATCTGACACATTTATAGTCCTATAAGTGTTTGTGTAGCCACAGATACACCCGCCACCCCCCTCCCCGACCCTGGTGGACATTACAGTTTTTCTCAAATGTTAAAACACAAAAGCCAATCCTGTAACCCAAATGACCAGTAGTCTAAACACATTTACTAAATGTAGCCACCATATTCCAGTACCATAAACACATGTCACATGAAGACACAATTCACAAAACACAACCCTCTGTACTCATAAATCTAAACACATGTTTCCTTGCTAAAACACATGTTGCAAAACAACTCTGCTCATATTCTCAAATGAAAGCCCATGTGATGCAAAATGCTTGCCACAGTCACCAATCTTTGAACACAGGGAACACACCTGGCGTCATTCACTACACACAATGACTCAAAATTGAAGACACTTGTTGCTAATGCTGTACCCACATGTAAAAGCAAGTTCAGAGTGCACAGTATGCTGAAGATGGAGGGAGAGCAAGACAACCTCGCACCATCATTACGGACGAGATGCGAGCAACAGCTCAGCGACATGATGCCGCACAGTGATTGTGGTGTGTGTGGTGTGAATAACGTAAATAAAAAAACTTCACACCCTGTTCATGTTTTCAAGATTACTGTTGTGTGCAATAGATTCTGTTTTTGCATCGAGTTGTGTTACAGTAGTGTACGTACATGCAGGATTTTCTATAGATTTATACTACTCATATGAAACTCACAAATCTAAATGCCTAATCCTCTGCAGAGATCTACGACGATCCGTTACTGTATAGTTTCTAAAATATGCATTGGCAGTTATGAAACAAAGAACCTTCTCACAAATTGAGCATTGTGTTTTCAATTGTTTTGCTGTAGTGTGTAATGCTGTGTATAGTGTTTACAGTTTTGACAGCTTCGAGCTGCTCTCTTGGTGTGGGAGTTTGAGTTTTGCAGTGGGAAGGTGTGGTTGTGTTTATGTAGCTTTAGAGAAGGGTGTTGTGTTTGGACATTGGGGGACCTGGTGGTAACGTTTGTGACATGTGTTTTAGCATTTGAGAAAAACTGTAAGAAGAATGGCGATTTAAACCACTTCTGTGTTGGCTGGACTTTCCAGATCCAAATTGTCCAATTTTTAAACAGTTTGGGAATTGCTGCTCTTATCCTGACCCTTTTGACAGGAACAAATCTCCGACAGTACTGGGCTCTGCTGCAATTTTATTTATCCCATATTCATTACAGCTGTTTAAATAATAGTAGTAATAGAAATAAATGCAATAATTAGTCTGCTCTATCAGTGGGGGGCATGTATCGGCTGATATTAGCCATTTACTAATATATCTGTGGCAGCACTTATAATGACCAACAAATCAAAACTGAAGAGGCGGGAGAAACACCATTCACCAAACAGTTTGTCCACCAGAGGGCGCTCTGCAACTTTGAAACGCTACAAACCCAGCTGATCCGAGCAGACAGTGCATACACAAGTAATCAGCATCACTTTGTAAGGACTGCAGATAAATAATTTTAGTAAAATACATTTGTTTTGAAATGCTACTTTGCCTTACCTGCAGCTCCACTCAGGCTGTGAAAAGTCATCACTTTCATAGCCTGAGTGGAATTTATTCACAGTGTAATACAGCAAAAAGCTTTATTTGCAAAACACCAGAACGTCAGAGGCCAGGTTGAGCAAAATCTTTATTGACCGAGAAGAGCAACCACAAATGATGATAGAATATACAACCCCACCAGCATGCCAGCGTTTTCATAGAAACTGTACAATGTGAAGGAATGTATGGAGCAGGAATTCATAATTATCATCAGAAGAAGAGGATGAGGAAGGAACAAACAGAAGCTTTACATCCATGTGTTTCGGTACAGTACGAGTTTGCTTCATATTTAGTGTCACTGGTCAGTCGTGTTTTTAAAACCTTCATTCTTCATTTAAATAGCGAGCATGTGTTTTCTCTGGTAGTGTCACCTGACTGTTCATGTCAGTTTTCCTCTGTCTGCGGGTGAGACCAGACGCCGCCGAGGTCTCCGGCAGTGGCGGCGGCAGCAGCAGACGGCGCCTGGCTCAGCCTCCTCCACACCTGGGATCTCCTAACTGCAACCTATGAAGCGATCTGAACGAACGAGAGCGGCGGGGAGGGGGCAAACGTTAAGGCAAAGTGGGGGGGGGAAGAAAAATCTAAAAATGTTTTTACCATTTTTCTCCACGTGATCGTAGTTGGTGCTAAGGCCTCTTGGCTAAAAGAAGCGAGAGTGCCAGATTAAAATTTCTCCAATTGTTAACATTCAGTTCCCTCCGTTTACAGGAAGCGTTTAGCGTGGAGGGGGCAGTGGGCGTGTGCAGAGCTGCCATTCAGTAACCTGTATAAACAGTCTCCACTACAACAGGGCTACAGGTGGTTATTCGTTGGCAGCGAGAGCGAGCCCTTCGTATTCAGACTACTTGATCGCGAGCGCTGCTCGTGCACACAAGGCATGCTAAAGAAACATTAATCGATACGTAAGGCAGCTACTTTTTATACTTTCCACTCCCTTGTTCACTTTGGCCACGCCTCCCATCTGACAGGGAGCGTGCAAGTACATTTAGAAAAGAAAGAGGCGGCGTAGAGCAGCTCTGAATGAATGTGTTTCGTTTTGTTTTTCTTTCAAGGCAGGTACTGGTAATCATATCAAAAGACAGCGAGCGAGTAAGTGAGCAAAACGAGCGTGGAGCGGTTGACAAGCGGGCAGACGGGGAGGTGGATGCTGGGGGGTGGTGCTAAGAACAGCTGATTAACTGTGGTGTGAATACAATCACATTACACAACCATTGATACCATTATATAAAAAAGGCAAACAAAAGTTGATTGTACAGTTGCTTTTCCACATGTACTTATACTGAGAGAGGAAGACACCTTTTCGGGGGAGGTGGAGGGCAGGACTTAATCTCTTGAAGCAGTGAAAAACTGGGGGAAAAAACAGGAAGCAGAGGAGGGCAGCGGGCGCAGGAGTAAGGTGCTACTTGGCACAGCTCGGTGGGGCGCGTGAGTGCATGGACAGAGGTGGGCTCGTGCACAACCAATGAAACGTTGAGCAGGAAGGTGTTGATGGACGGACAGACGGGGGGGGTTAGGTTGCTGCTACTGCTGCTGCTACTGGTGCTGACAGAGCGGGGCGGGTGGGGCGTTAAGACAGCGAGGCGTGAGATAAGGCATGAGAGCATGAAATGCACGACAAAAACAAAGAAGGCAGAAATGGCGGTGGACGTGGCAGGGATGGGAGGAGGATGAGGAGGAAGATGGAGGAGGAGGGGAGGGGCTGAGGGAATCCCTTGCGGCCCCCCCTACACCCCCAGCTCCAAACACAAAGGCCTCTTTTAGTCTTTCCAGTCTTTCTTGATGTTCAGGTTCCACTCCCAGGACAGGTGGTCGTGCTTGTCGTCGTCGGTGAACTTGGATTTGATGACGTAGTTGCCACGGGCCAGCAGGCCCTTGGGCGCCTCCTCCACCGTAGTCAGGAAGTCGTATTCAGCACCACGCGGCCCATAGCTGCCCACCATGTAGTCTGACTTGTCAACTGTCAACAAACGAGAGGAAACGTTAGATCTTTACATCACGCTCAGCTCAGATTGTGAACAGGCTGGTAATTACCAACGTGTGGGCCATGAAGACACTGCAGGTGGCTGCGAGGAGTCAGTTACAGCAAAATAAATTAAAATAACAGCTTCACAGGACTTAAATTTTTAAATATACATGGATATATAATTATAAAAGTTTTCTATAACTTCTATAATTTATACAACTTAATCCTGTAAAATAAGATCACTGTGATGGGCTGTCACGAGGTTGCACTGCACAGCAGGAGATGGAGATATTAAGAGAGGAGAGCTGGACGTCAACCCAGCAGCAGGAACGCTCGTCTGTATGAGGGGGAGTAAGAGCAGCACTGCTAGAGCTCTGCAAAACAACAACCAGCGAGATCCTCGTGTGTCAGAAACAGGAGCACTCCCGTTCCTCCTCCACACTCTTGATCTGGAAAACCTTCATGTGGATGTGCCATCCTGGAGGAGCTAGACTGAAACTGAATGGGCTGCAGGGAGCAGCTCACTCTTATTTTGGGGAGTGCTCTTGTTGCCTCTCCTGTGAACCTGTTGTCACTTCAATTTGCACCAAAAAAGGTGAAACAGATTCACAACAGTGTAACGGCACTGCCTTTGAGTCATTCTGTGATTCCCTAAAATTGTTATTAAAATAAAAATCCAATTAAATATTTTTTTAAAAGAAGCTAAACATGCAAAACACAAACATAGGCTTTAAAAAGAGCCTGAGTTAGCCGCTTCAGCTCAGTAGGTAAGCAGGCGAGTGCAGCAGTCCCAGCAGCTGTGACTCTCCTCTCCTCACTTTCCTGTCTGTCTTCACTGCTCCACCATCCAATAAAGGCAAAAATGTTCAAATAATACTTAAAAAAGTAGGATTTTGTGAGAGGCTGTTTTTGATAACGTATAAAGCTTCAGGCCCTGAAGAAGCTCTGGATCACAGGAGGTTATTTTTTTAAACAAAGAGCCAAAGTAAAACTCCCAGCAATTATCTGTCACACAGGCTCATTTCAGCTCGCTCCAAAGGAGCCTTTTTGATCCAGGAAAAACACAGATTCAACATCAGCGGCTGGCTCAATAATCAGCCCCAAACTGACATTAATAGCTCATTTAGCAAAGTAACAGCTGTGCATGCTTGTATATAAAAAGACTGATTAGCAGCACAGCTAATGAGCCTCTGGTTGTTGTAGGCTGCTGTTTGGCTGTTAGCACATGATCAGCTTTACATGCAGGAGCTGCATCCAACCAGTAACGCTGATCTTCAGAGGAACTGTGTTTGTACAGACGTTTTTCACTCACTCTTCATTCCTTTCCTGAACGTCTGCTGCACATACTTCAGCCCCGACACGATCTCCCTGTTCACCTGAGGACACAAAGACATTGCATCAGACATGTGACAGTAAGACAGATCAATTGTGGAAAGTCTATGGCACTGTGCAAAAGTCTTGAGCTGGCCCTCATTTCTTTAAACTTTGCTTCCAAGGAGCCAGACTTTCTTCTGACTTGATCAAAAGTTCTTGAAGAAAGTGGTTTTTGGACATTGGCTGCTTTTTCACTCATTTTCAGTCTGTGGACCTTTTTCTATAAAAATGTTTTTTTTTCCTGTTAAACTAATTAACCCTGAACTGTGAATAATTCAAGCTTAAAAATGCACCTAACTTGAGGGTGAACCAACATTGTGTATAAATATAACATCAACTCGTTATTGGCTGCCTCTCACAGAAACAGAATTTGGTCCCATTTCTTGTATGAAACTATAAAAATGACAAGGATAACACAGTCTGACAGGCATAAAATACCATTTCTGCACCAAAAAGATGATTTCAACATGCTTTTAGCTGAAAACTGTTTTTAAGCTGATAAAAAGCCTCTTGTCATCCTGTGAGCATCTACTACAATTCTCCTGCTACCAACTAATGTTTTAATGAGAGCGCAGATGACCTGACACCAATTACTTTGAGATTTTGTATTTTTTGTTATTGAGTGGCTACAGATGGCTCTTTGTGGCTCTAAAACCTGCTTTGTAATTGTGATGTCATTCCAGATAAATAACAATGTGTGTCTCTTGTTGTTTTGTTGCTATGTACATCGTCTGTGCCTACATTACACTCAGTGGATTCAGAGGAAGTGAGCAATATTTCCTATAGTTAATGGCAGGAAATAAATGTTTTTAATATCAAAGCCTCACTGAGCAGCAATCTGCCAACACTGAGCTCCTGTGCCAACAATATTTCTGTAAAATGTGCCTTAGAGGATGGCTGTCGAGTCCTGTCCAGTGACCCAAACTTCACAGATTTGAAAACATCACTATCAGTGGAACAGCTGTACTTTAACATGGTCTGCAGAAAACAAGGACAGATCACTCATTTCTTAAACCGACCAGCAGCTCTCACCTTAAAGCTGATCTTTATTCTGTATTCTACTCCCTCCTTCAGGACAAAGGCCTGCTTCTTAAAGGCTTCCAGGTCTCCTGTGAGCAACAACAAACACAGACAAATCAATA